TGTTAATAGCTTTCTTTTGTTTAATTAAATAGACCCCCCACCCCCGACAAAAAGAAACATACTTCGCTTGCTATGGGTTATGAATCGGCACGTGATTATAAGCCAAACGAAATTTGGATGTGATGCATTTGACAGGTATACCCTTATCAGTCCGGGTGTCATTATGGGTATATTAGGCCTTCTATATTTATACCCTATTTCCACTTTGCTGTCGTGTTGTCCCCTCACTCAATAATAATAATAATAATAATTCTGTCTTGTGATAGCTATTGCAGACCCGGTGGACAAAAACACATAATCTGCAAACTGTAGTATGTTCGGATAGCATCATTACTTGTTACTGGGATCCTGAAAATGATAGGTAAAGATGTAGACAAAACTCTGGAACAAATTACTGGAAACCTTAAAATATATGAATTACAAAAAACATACACATGGATAGTTCTTCCATATTGAGTAGATTTCTCTCCATGACTTCCATACTTTTTCTCCCTGATTGCACGTCACATCATCTTTTGTGATCTAGTCATATCATAAACTTGTCTCTTGAAGTTTTTGGTTAAGAATTGGAGGTAAATCGTACCAAACAAAGCAATGGCAAATAATAATAATCCTTCAGTTTGGCCATGAGAGAGTCCTCGAAGGTGGAGACGGCCTGGTGGAAGGTGCGGCGCCAGGCTTGACGGTCAGCAGCAAGTGTCGACCACTGGCGATGGTCAATGTGGCATGTACCGAGAGATTTTTTGAATGAGTCCTTATAACGCTTCCTTGGTGCCCCCACCCCACCGTCACGGTGGCCAGTGGAGAGTACGCCATAAAGGGATATCTTGGATAGGCGATGGTCCCCAATTCTGGAGACGTGCCCTGCCCAGCATAGCTGTGACTTCAGCAACATGGCTTCAATGCTGGTGATTTTCGCCTGTTCGAGGACTTCAACGTTGGTGACGTAGTCACTCCGGTGAATGTTGAGGATGGTACGGAGACAGCGCTGATGGAAAGAGAAACGCGGAAACGAGGAAGGACCGGGAAGCTTCAACAGCTATACCAGACCAGAACTTTAATTGAAGTCGCTGCGGCAAGACTTGCCTCTGCAGTATCTGCCTGGTCGGCCATCAGCGTGCCTGAAGTCGGCGTGGACAGCCCACTTCATAAATCTTCGTTCGCGAAGCCAAGCCAAGGAAAATTTAATAATACAGCTTCTCACTTGCTACTGCATGCATCATCCCAAAGATGATGGTGATCGTCTGCATGTGCTCAGATCCAAAGGAGGCAGAGGATTAGTTCAACTACAACTGTCATACAAGACTACAACAATTAGCCTTCAAAGATACCTGGTAATTACAGAAAAATCGATGACGATACGTGTCAAAGAACATGAAAGTAGTAAGCGTTTTTATTCAGTAATAAAGGAAGAGAACAATTTCAGAATGGAGTTTCAAATGGGTGCAGAAATACAAGTAAAGCACAATACAACGACAGAAGGTGCAAAATTCATAAAAAAAAGAAAGCAAAGACAAATGCAACCGACCAGATACAGAAACAATGGCAAGATAGACCGCTTTATGTCCAATACTCTGCCCGTACCAAACAAGCTGATGTAGACAAACCACGTATCCATCAATGGCTACGTAGTGCAGGGTTAAAATTGAAGCAGAGGGTTGTATCCTTGCTGCAAAGGATCAGTGCTTGTTAACTAAGAATTATCAAGCACATATACTAAAATATTGTGTTAGCCAAAAATGCAGGTTCTGTGATAAATATCGATAAACGATTGATCATCTTGTATCTAGTTGCACGGTTTTGGCACCCACTAAATATAAAACCCGGTATGACAGAGTGGGCCAATATCTGCACTGGAAAATTTGCAACTTCTACGGGAAGGAAACTGAAAGAAAATGGTATGAACACCAAATAGACCCGGAGATAGGACGTGTTACAATTTTATGGCACTACACAATAATCACAGACAGAAGAATCAAAGCTAACCACCCAGACATTGTTATTAGCGACTGCAAAAAAGGTGCCTCCTTATTGATACGGCACTCCCTGTAGACTGCAATGTATGTTTGAGGTTTTTCAAAAAGCTATCAAAATACAAGGACCTTGAAATCGAAATCTCAAAATGTGGCACATGCGAACATCAACAATCAATTTTTAATTGGTCAGTGGAAAATGTCATGATGCCATTTCTAACCTTAGGTCTCTTGGCGGGACCCGGAAAGAAATGAGTACACACTAGAAATCAAAGGAAATAATAATAATAATAATAATAATAATAATAATAATAATAATAATAATGACATCGCAGACTATAATGTATCTTTGTAGATCTTCAAAAATCTATCAAAGTGCAAGAACCTTGAAATCGAAATCTCAAAAATGTGGTACGGAGAACATTAACAACTCCAGTTGTAGTTGGAGCCCTCGGATTGATTGGAAAAGATTCCGATAGACTAATCGAGGGGATCCCTGGTAACCCAAGCCTTAAGGAAATACAAAAAAAATGTACTCACAAGTACAGTTTATACATTACGAAGAGTTTTATGTATATAAAATGTATGTGATCTTAGTTGGTTTTTTTTTGTTGTTTTTTTTTACGTAGTTTGAGGTGTAGATGAGGAAAAAAATAATTGCAACCCTGTACCGGCAAGATATATGCCTTAAATCAAAGTCTGCATTGTTGCGGTTTTAGCCACTGGTAGATATCCATGCCCCAAGAATGCCGATTTGCGATTTTTTTTCCATTTTTTTTTTTACAATAATTATCAGTAGAATGTCATGAAGCCATTTCTGACCCTAGGACTCTATTTGGGACCCAGAAGGAAATGTGTATGCAACAGAAATGAAAGGAAATAATAATAATAATAATAATAATAATAATAATTTTATGATGTCAGACGCCTTCGTTTCACTTGCATTCCATTCGCACTGGCCGTGTTTTGTTTGCATACTCGAGTTTATTGCCAGCAAAACTGTTTTTCTCAAACAAAGCGACGTTTGTACAAAAAATATATATTTCTGTACTTCGATGCATTTTTGTGATGTCAGAAGCGTATTCGTTGTCACTTTTGTGATGTCAACGAATGCTCGTTATCACGTTCGTAATTCTCGTGGTAGTCGAGACTTTGGAATCACAGATACTAGCAGTAACTCTTTTGACTAATACATGCACTAGTAATACTTGTTTGAATAGTAACCACCGAATAGTAATCCGTCGAGTGATTAGTATAGAGAAATAGTATAGAGGATAGTATAAAAAATCGCGATGACTTAGACGACACGCTAATTCCCATATATATACCTTTCCTGTGGTCTACTTCTTAGAAATGGAATCACAGGTGTTTGCTCACTAGTGATCTGTGTTCAAACTCCCGTGTCGACAACGACACTTTATCC